TTTCATACATACAGATTACTTGCTTTATAATTAAACAACTAACAGTCTTTCAAGTATTTTAACACTAAATGGCAAGAAAAAACAATATATATACAACAATAAACGGAAGAATTTACAACAATAGTATCGAATAAACATGTGTACATTACACATTAACACACCCACATATCTTATGAGGAGTAACAGAAATAATAACTTTTTCTATGTCTTTTGGCTTTATCTTATTAGTAAAATTTACAAGAGTCAGGTGGATGTACCATTACCACAAATAGAAAATATATGCTATATATATTTTCAGATAAAAGAAATGTTAAGCAATAGGTGGTACCAATTACTTTTGTAAGTTAATTCCTCAGAAAAATATGTGTTAGAAATACCACAATTAGACAGATAAAGACTTCAGACTAAATAGTCTTGAAGGGGAACTAATGATAAAGCTCGAATGGACTGATAGCCAAGCTACCAGAAAAGTAGACCTTAGCTGTCAAAGGATATTAATGACAGGCAGAGGCTCAGGTTCTACAAAGTGACACCTCACGACACACAAGAGAATAAACATGACAAAGTAAGGTAAGAATATAATATATGTTTTGTTTTTTTCTTGTAATGTATTTCATTGACTACATTTTCATAACATAAAAATTGTTTACTTTTATATCACACATATGCCTTTCTTTAGTTTATAATTGAATTTATTTTTTCTCAATGATTATTTTTGGTATTCTTAGGGGACGACTAAATGTCATAGAATAAAACTAAACATTTCTTTCTTTCTTCTTATTTTCACATGGGTGTAGGAATGTGGGAGTAAAGAGGACAACTTGCCACTGTACCCAAGGCTTTAGGGACTCCCGATTCTCCACGTTTGATTTTTGTTTTCTTTTTATCTTGTCATGAAGTTTTCTGGGAATTCAAATATTAGAAGTAACAATTATTTGATAAAAAGAAGAAAGAAAAACTTGGAGATTTTAGGATATATATATATGTTCATATTTGGGGATAAAGTGACTTATCAACCTTAGGCTTCGATTAAATTTTGATTGAGTCATGTTGTGATCCACTATTTGTGCTTACTTGAAACCTTATTAAACTGGTGTACAAATTAAACTTTATATCAAAAACCTTCTAATATTTATGCCTTGTAAATATTAGTTTATTATATAAATAACATTGAAAGTATATTGTATAACATGTACCAGAAAAGTAATAAATTAAAAAAAATTCAAGAATGCAAAAATTGTTGTCCTATATATTATTTCCTTCTTCCATGAAATGAATAGGCCTCAGCCAAAATTTTACTCAGATCTCAGTACTATTGTTATGCCACTGATAGTAGATGATCCTTACACAGATAAGAGGTAAAAGATTTAAATACCAAATCATGAATTAATCATTTTGTATGCTAAGGAAAAATTAAATTAAATCTAAACTAGTACATATACACTACAACTTCTCCACAGTGGATACTAACCTGAAATTAATTTAATTTTTTTTTTGTGTATAGAAACTGGAAGGAAATAAGTGACGAGAAAATACAAATTAGCAAACTAGAATCAAATTTTATGAATCATATCAATAATATTATTTATCCATTTAAATAAAATTTTTGTTTTTAAATTTACAATTTATATGTCTTATTATCAGAAATGATGTTTTTATAATAAGTTCTACAAATGAGCATTGATAACCATACACATAAAACGAAAACTTGTATACATAAACAAAATTAAAACTATAAATTACTAACAACATTAATCTGTAATTTTTGTCCCACTACTACTCTGTTTTCCAGATTACCTTGAAGAAATAAAATCAGAAATACTCATTTATTCTTCTTTGAAAAAAAAAACCAACAATGATACTTTCCCAATCGCATCACTAAATAGGAAATATTGTGACATTTTTAATTTATTAAGCAATTCAGTTGGCTGCTTAAAATCATTTTGATCAAAATTTTGTGATGTTTCTTTAATCATAGGGCCAGATGGAGAAACATTATTTGATCTCTATCGCAAGGCCTGAAGTTTTAGGGAGTTTTTTTTCTTTCTTTCTTTATATGTCACATACATATTTTGCCAATTTTGAATTGAGTGGATAATTCACGAAAACTAAGTTTTTCATGAGCAATCACTTTATTTTACAATGGATGAGAGTTGAAACATACCCAAATAAATATGTAAGAGAACTAACAACAAATTATTAAAACAATAACCACTACTACAACACCTAATTCTCGGTATGGATCATTGAACTAAACTATTATAAATAAAATTAAAGTTCCTAAAATATAAACCACGCTGACTACCTGCTGTTAGTTATGGAGAAACTTTTAAAAAATTCCTGCATCAAATCAAGTCTGCCCATGTCAGTTATCGAACACCCATTTTTCAGAAATCCTTAATTCTTAATTATTGAAAATTTGATGAGATTTCTAAACTTGTCTGTTAGAGAGAAATCCACTATTGCACTAAGAAGTGTTGGCTAACAGATGTTTCGCAGAATATATGCAGAGCCTTAAAATACAATTAAAAATTACCCACTCTCCAAAAAAAAAAAAAAAAAAGAAAAAAAATAAGTTCAGCTAATTAAAGAAAAACAATTAAATATTTTAACATATTCAAGATGATAATTGAAAATATATTTTTTTTTAATTAAGCAATGCCTCCTAAAATAAAATTTTAAAAATAGGAACTGCAGCACCAGAATTTCCAAAGGTTCATAACCAAGAAATTATTTAAATCCTAGACTTTATTTAGAATAGAATAATTTCTCCATTTATCTTAACTATAGCAAAATTGGTATCTAAATTCTATCATAAATTAATTGCTATAACATTTTTAATGTAAGCAATAATCAAATGCCTCATAGATTCAATATCAGTACATGAATAAATAAGGCTACAATAATAAAGAGATTAATGAACCCTGAGGTTCTATGCTCATACTACAAACACACTTCCATCCTCCGACTACCATCAATACCCAAATTCTAAGGTAAGGCTTCAATATGTAAACTGAACTAAAACATTTAGTTTTTAACTATGAATGATGATTTAAACAAAGTAAACTTACTTTACTTTTTTGATCATACCTTTAACAAATATTTATTGTATTTTTTCTTCAGACAATAATGAATTAAGTAATAATTACTGTTATTAGTATCGAAGAAATGAACACTAACTAAATAAAAATCACCATCTATAAATCACAGAAAAGTATTTACTTATAATACGTGGGTGCTAGAGTAATTAGCAGAAAAAAAAAAACGTCACAAATTCACAAATTGAAAATTTTAAACATAAAATATTTATTTAGTATGTAGGAGTATAGGCTTTCTGTTTATCTACTATCAATTCACTTCATACAAATTAAAAAAAAATTCTAGGTAACTGGAACACAAGGTGTGGTAAAGATAAACGTTTAATTAAATATATAGTTAGTGAAATTTTAATAGAACAACAAAACCCATAAACTCTTGAAAATGAATAACTTATTCGTACTGTTTGTTCAAATCAATGGTAGAAAAAAATTTCAGATAGTGACATATTTACATAGGTAAACTTTCTATGGAGTGTATCATGAACATATTTAATAATTCAGATTTTTAAAATCAAATAAAATAAAAATAATGAATATTGATACAAGTGAAAATCCCAGCTGTAAATCTTTTCAAAAGTCCACAAAATAGATTCTTACAAGTCATGAAATATCATACTTAGCAATAGAAGGAACTTAATTAAAAATTTAAACAAGAGGCATTTAGTACATTTAATTCAATGAAGGCAAGTCCTAAAACTTATAGTAATGAATTTTCAACATACTTCAACTGAATTGAATACCAATTGATTTAATTCTTCAATAAAATATAAAATTTAATAGTTTTATTTTATTGAAGCTATTTCATTACTGTTATTTATCAAGGATGAAATCTTAATAAATTCAGAAAGCCACAATCGATATTAAGTTAGCAATAAATCCAGAAGATATTCTGTAACTCCTCAAATTAATCATTCCATTTTACAGTTTTACAATGTTATTAATTCATGTAAATATATTTATTTACAATATAAGAAAAATCATTATTTAAACAATGGTTACCAATATCCATGACTTTCAGATTAACCTTGCAAATTATCAATATTTTTGCATCTCCGTTTGATAACTGAATGTAATCTTTCTTTTTTAGCTGTTCACATGAAGGGAATAGTATGAAGAACTAGAGAGCATTTAATTATTTATGCTCAAAACGAAAAAAATTTTATATCTTGAGTACTGTTCTTTTTCATTTTAAAATTAAATGTTCCATCCACATCAGCGACAAAACATCATATTATATAAGATAAAATAAAACTTCCAAAGACAGTAAAAAACAAACCATAAAAATAATGACTAATTATTAAAGCTTGTTAACAGAACATATGATTTCTCTGAGATATTCTAATATATAATCTTTTCATCAATAATTTTCAAGTCACCCAAATGAGTACTGATGTATAATGCATCTAAAATACTCATAGTAGTACTTAATTAAGTTAGACAAATCAAAAATTCATGATCTATATATATTTGTAACCTTATTTTCTTCTCTTAATTTTGATCTTTCACAAAAAAAAAAAAAAAAAAAAAAAAAAAAAAAAAAAAAAAAAAAAAAAAAAAAAAAAATGAATAACCCTGAAGTAAATAATCATAGTGTTTCAAGATAAAATCAAGTGGACCATAATGATAATAATGTTACAGAAAGAGAAAAAATAAAACTTCCTTCCACAAATACGAAGATGAAATAATTTGATAAAAACTTTAATGCAAGGAGAAATATATTAAAGAACTGAATAAAAAATGTTTTATCTTCTGGACTGCAAAATTGTCAGTTTAAGTATGACAATAAAAACATGAAACTTCTACTTCTGATTAAGATGGTTAAGAATTAAGCAAAATAAAGAAACTAAGAGTTCTTTAGGTGTAATAAATTATGAAAATGGTAAAAAAAAAAAAACATAAATTAACAATCCTCTTTACCATTATTTTTAACTTGAACATAAAAAAATTAAATATAAAATAAAATGAATTAATACAAATTCTTTTCATTTGTATAAAAACACAAGACAACGTGAATATGTGATGTGTTTTTGCATTCTATAATCATTCTGCAAACATTCTTACTAACCCATCAACATATATATTAGTAATTATTTCTATAATAACAAGACAGTTCTGAACAATAGAGAGAGTATAATTTCAATAAATATTGGTAACACCAAAGAGTTCAATTAACCATTAGAGTGTGTGATTCCATTGGTTCAGCAGAATCATATAAAGTATCAGTATCTTGGGCTGGTTCACCTTGTAGCTGGCACTGATTGCATAATGTACCAGCACCACAATCACAGAAAAACCTAGAAAATATTAATAATTAAGTTATTATACTAAAGCAATAGAGTTATAGTATGTCAAGAAAAATTAATAAGATATATTTGGCAAAATAATATTTTCAAATAGTTCTAAAAAGCAAATCATGATTTCTTATCAGAGAAGAATAAGCATGATCCAGTTAAATAATAAACTTTAAAAAAATAAAATATAAGAAAAAAAAAACTTCATTTTATTTTTACAAACTTTTATTCATCGTATGTTATAAGATGTTTCAAATTATTTATTAAGGAAGAGTTTTATTGGTTTCAGGTATATATATATATATATATATATATATATATATATATATATATATATATATATATAAGTAGACAAAAAAATAAATATGATTATACAGAAGAGACAAAATTCATAATATATATATATATATATATATATATATATATATATATATTATGAATTTTGTCTCTTCTGTATAATCATATTTTTTTTTTTTTGTCTACTTAGACAAAAGAAATAAAAAGGAAGTGCTCAAATGGAAAGTGATCCACAACACATGGTAACCAATGGCCACTTAGCCTCTCCTCCCTAACTCCTACTCTCACCTTCTGATGGTGGGCCCGTTAGCCAAGAAACTCAGTCTGAGGTTGTGGTAACCAATCCCTTCGGATGACTGGGTAGACGAACAAACAAGAGAGTGGGTCCTGGAAGGGCAGCCTGGGGATAATATGGGAATAGGTGTTCCAGGAAGGAGGTGTGCCAGCAGCAGGGCATACCACTTTGGATAGTGGCGGAGGAACTACCTAGGGCAGTCAACAGGTGCTCCTGCAGGCTTAGTTAGATAGCCTACTGCGAAAGTTTTCCTCTATTTTAATACTCCTGGTCCTCCAATGTTGGGGGTTTAGTCTGGGCCGACACTACATTCTTTTAAAAAACAAATGATGCGAACACTCTACAAAGAAAAATCGGACAGTCTCTAAAGAAAAGATACGGAACTCGGAAAAGGATAAAACTAATCAGAATATCTGAAGCCCATTTGAGCCAGGAGCTAGCAGGATTTTGGAGGATACACTGGCACAATATAGGATAGAGCTTGCAGCAATATAAAAAATCAGATGGAGGGATGTTGTACTGGGAGAGCTAAAGGTCTACATCCTTATCAACAGTGAACATCAGGAAACGTATTAGGCACTGGATTCTTAGTAAAGAAAAAATATAAAATATGCAATAATGGACTATGCACTGGTAAATGAAAGAATCTGCACTCTCAGAATCGGCGGAAAGTTCCTTTATAAGAGCCGGTTAGTGTTCATGCACCAACAGGGGATAAAGATGATGAACAGGAGGCTTTCTATCCTGCCTTGAGTCCACAGTTGGCTGATGCCAAGAAGTGATGTTAAAATAGTATTGGGTGACTTCAATGCAAAAATCAGAAGGGAAGAAATGTTTCGCCCTACAATCGGCCCACATAGGTTGGACATAGAGAGCAATGATAATGGATTCAAAGCAATTGACTTTGCTACCTATAAGGGGTTCAGTATATGACGTACGTATTTCGACCATAAAAGCACTCATAAGTAAACATGGGTTACCCTGAAGGGCTAACTAAGAACCAAATAGATCACGTCATGATTGGAAAAAGGTATGCTACAGATGTGACAGATGTTCGAAGCTTCAGAGGCGCTGACTGCTCATCACACCACTACATGTTTGTGATACAATACTGCCAAAGGATTGCCAATCAACCAAAGGGATAAAACCAAGAAGTATTGCTTGGAGAAACTGAAAGATGCTGACGAGAATAAGCTCCATGCTGAAGAAATGCTATGAACATAATATTGATCAACATAACCACTCCATAGACTACAAGCAAGCATACAACAGTGTAGACGAGGCAAGTTCAGGCCATGGCAAAGGTGGGTATACCGGTAAAACTGATATGATTAGTGTGTGCGACCTTGGAAAGAACACAAAGAAGAATAAAAATACAAAGTGTGAAATCCAGTTGCTTCCATATCAACAAAGAATTAAGGCAAGGAGATCTCCTGTCTCCCATCCTATTCAACATTGTTTCGGATAATAGTGATAAGGGCCATTAGAACAAATCCTGGGGGAACCATCTATAATCGAATGAAACAGCATCTTGCTTTTGCGGATGACATTATCATTACTGGTGGCACATGAGCATCTATACTAGGAGCATTTGAGGAATATGAACAGGCCTCAATATTAATAAAACCAAAACTAAATATATGAAGACCTCCCAGGGTGATTGTGAGGCGAGGACTGGGTCTTACGACTGGAGACTACTTTTTAGCACAAGTACGGGAGTTTAAATACCTGAGGGCCAATATAACCGAAAAGAATGACATACAGGCAGAAATAAAGTCACACATGATGGCCGAAAATAGATGTTGCTGGGTGCTCAGAAAAGTGCTTAGGTCAAAGGTGTTGCCCTGGCAGCTAAAGAAGGCCATATATGTTAGTGTTATTAGACTTGTTGATTTCGCAATTGGAAGAAGACTATCGATAAGTACCACGTATTTCCCTCACAATAACATAAATAAGGAAACAAGGGTCTCCCCAGACGGACAGAAAAGAAATCAGATCAACCAAGTTCTAATGGATTCAAGATATGCAACACATATTCAAGATGTCCGAGTGTATGGGGAGCCAATTGCAATTCAGAACACTTCCTCAGCATCAACTACAATCAGAAAATCGCACACCCCAGAGAAACCGGAGAAAATATTACCTCGTACAATGTCTGCAAACTCAAGAATGAAGAAGTTAGACGGGCACAAGATCATCAGCTGAGGAGGTTCTTGGGCATCAGCAAAAACCAGGAAGAGCAGAGTGGTTTGATGAGGATTGCTTCAGATTAATGTAAGAAAGAAATGAAGACAGGATTGACCATCTGAAGAAGACGAGGCAGGTTTACCGTGTATATAGCAACAAGAGGAAAGCGGCTAGTGGTCTCTGGCGACGTAAAAGAAGAGTTCTTAAAATGGCAACATGAAAATAAGAATGTACGAGGTTTCTTTGGGGAAGTATGACGTATCAGGCAGGGATATAATGTTTTCATGAAGCACGAGAAAGGTGATCTTCAGGATGGCAGAGGGGATATTATCAATAGGTGGACGAGATATTTCCAGAGACTACTGAACAAGGAAGAAAAACATAACGAGGACATAATACAGCAGTATCTCAACCTGGATCGGATCCTAGAAAATGAAGATGAAAATGATGAGCAAACAGCACCTGCAAAGGAGGAGGTTTGGGAAGTATTCCACAGCATGAAGAATTATAAAGCTTCAGGAGTTGACTGTATACCGGTTGAACTGCTTAAGTATGGTGGAAGTAAAGTTCTCAACGAACTATACGAAATAATTTTCAATAATGAAAAGATGGCGATTAATTGGACTACAGCTCATTTATGCCCATCCATAAAAAGGGAGACAGACTGAAGTGTGAGAATTACAGAGGCATAGCCCTATTTAACATAGCCTACAAAGTACTATCGTCTTTGATTTGTCGGAGGTTGAAGGCGTACAAGTAGAAGATTGTTGGTGACTGCCAAAACGTATTCAGGCAAGGAAGGTCAACATATTCCACCAGACTGCATATTCGCCCTGAGACAGCTGTTGAAAAAGACACATGAACTTAAAGTTACTCTCCATCATCTTTTCATAATTTTCAGCAATCCTATGAAAGAGTTGATAGGGTAAATCTTCTCCACGATTTACGAAGTTTTGGAGTTTCCAAGAAGCTAGTGTGTCTGGTACGGTTGATGATCACCGGTTTTCAATGTCGGATCAAATCACAGGACTCACTGGGACAGGAGTTTTCAGCCAATAATGGTCTTAGACAAGGAGACCCTCTGTTAGCAACTCTCTTCAATTTGTCCATGGAGGGAGCAGTACCAGACATAAGAACCAATCCTGGAGGCATCATATATAACAGATACACACAGATATTTGCCTACGCTGATGATGTCCACCTGGCAGCCAGAACGCTGCTGGTGCTTGCCGGGATGTTGGAAGAGTTGGAGCGAGAGGCAAATAGAAGAGGTCTTAAGATCAATGAGAAGAAGACGGAATACATGAAGAGCATTCAGAAACCCCTACAGATGCCATCACATACAATTAATATTAATAGACATAACTTCTCAGTTTGTAGGGCTTTTAAATATTTTGGAACACCAGTCACCGAAAAGAATGAACTTCCCTATAGAGGAGATAGAGGCCAGAATAGCATCAGGAAATTGTTGCTTTTTTGTAGTACATAAAGTTTTGAAGTTCAAAGATCTTTCTTGGAGCGCCAAGGTCATCATTTACAAGATAACTATTCGCACAACAGTCACCTATGGCAGTGAGACATGGGTCATGACAAAGGAGATGGAGAAATGACTATCCACCTGGGAAAGAAAGATACTAAGAAAAATATATGGACCAGTCTACTCTGAAAGAGTGGAAAATTAGCCAAAACAAAGATTTAAGAGCATTATATGATCAGCCAGACATAGTAAGTACAATAAAAAAGAAAAGGTTGAGGTGGCTCGGGCATGTGGAGGGTATGAAGGAGGATTTCTTCCAAGGAAGCTACTTATTGAAAAGCCGGGGTGGTATCTGAAAGCGTGAATGACCCAGAATGAGATGGCTGGACGATGTTGAGGTGGACCTGCACCAACTTGGAGTCAGAGGATGGAGAGCGGTTGCTGCCGATAGACCAGCCTGGTGTGCAATCTGTGATGAGGCCCATGCCCTTCAAGGACAGTAGTGCCAAATATTATTATTATTAGACCAGTGATGAGACATGGGTCCTCACCAGGAAGTCAAAACAAGTGTGGGAGAAGAAATGTGTGGAGAAGAAAGTTCGGAGAAAGATTTTTGGCCCTTTGAGAGAGGCAGAGAAACAATCTGGAGCTCCATGATCTACACAAGGCCCTGTCACCTGCATCGAAAGAAGTAGAATTAGGAGATTGGGGCATTTATAGAGGATGGAAGAGCGGCGTATAACGATGAAGCTCTTAGAGGGACATTCTGGTGGAGGATGAAGAAGAGAGCGTCCTAGATTGTGGTGACTGGAGGGTGTGGAGGAGGATCTAAGGACACTTGGAGTCCGAACGTAGAGAAGAGCAGCTTTGGACAGAGACGAATGGCGGAGAATTGTGGAAGAGGCCAGGGTTCTGCAAGGACATTAGTGCCATTGAAAAAAAGAAGTAGACAAAAGATATAAATATGATTACACGGAAAAGAAAAATTATATAATATATATATATCTAACTTTTATTTTGTGAATTTAAAGGTATTTCTAACCTAATTTTAGGTTGTTTCTTTTAGAGTAAATTAAAAAAATAACAAAAAATAGATCCATAACATTTATAAATAATTGTACTATCATTACCTATCATGTCTTACAAATTCTACTTCATGGCCAGCATGGCAAGTTTTAATACAATTAACACAGATAGCATTTCGACCAGTGGTGTTGCAGGTTTGGCAACGGTAAAAATCATGCATGGGGAATGAAGTGTAACTAGATATTTTATACAAGCATTGCCCATTCCTAACAGCTTTTTCTACAGCATCCTGGTTACTGAAGATTTTATTACCTTAAAAAAATATTTAAAAAACATTGAATAAACAGAAAAAAACAAAATATATCTTTAAATATGTAGCAACCTAAAATATTTCAATATACTATTAATGTGCCTAGTGGTATAAAACATCATACACACAAACAATTCTTAACTAAAAAAGAAATTGGAGGATGGATCTAAAATTAAATAAAAATCATTTTATGTTTTCATAAGCCAGAATTATTAGAACATAATGTGCCAAACAAAAAAAAAGTAATTTAATATAAATATTTTTTTTTTTCAGTTGCTGCTACAGACCTTTGACCGCACGATAGGTATTCTTACCATCTTAAATTATTTAAGATAGCCTGGAGGGGGTTACGTTCCTTTGAACCAGGGTCTCTATGGTCCAGCAGCAAGTCACTCATAGCTTCATAGGCCAATCTGGCAGTGTCCTTCCCACAGACTCATTCAGGTTCAAGGGCAAGCATAAATTGGTCAATATCTGCTCAGTCAGCAGGCGTATGAGGACTTATATTTCTATCCCCAAACCAGACCGTCCATGGACCTAATGTTTTAGACATTGTACTTCCTCATTAACACAGTTTAACCACATGTGGTTATGACCATTTTAAATTTTGAAAAACATGGATTTTTTTTTTAAATACAAGATGTGTAGGCCATTTAACAGTTTATTAACCCGGCAAAGGTATCGCTGTTGTAACTATGTAAAAGGTATCACTTCAACAAATTGACAAAATAGCTCCTTCTTAGGGATTCCTTGATTCTTTTTCACTTTTCTGATTTTTAACTCTGGCAAGACTAAGGAGGTCATGGGTTATTTTGAAGGGAGATTGTGTTGAGTAGCCAGGACAAAAACCAATTGGAGAGGGTTGATTAGGGAATGTTCCTCCAGAAAATTGGAAAGTTGATTTTGGACAAGGCGTTCCAGCTGTTTTGAAAGGTTGGAAAGGAGAGAAATAGAACATAAGTCATGAAGTGAGGAAGGGTTTGAAGTTTTATTCAAAGGTCAAACTAGGGCGGTTTTTCAGAAAGATGAGAATATTAAGTTTTGCAAAGAAAAGTTGTAGATATGGTGCAAAGTACGGAAAGGCTGGATTTTAGGATAGTAGAAAAGAGTTCATCTTAGGACACCTGGAAGGAAATCTTTCAGATTGAAATTGTGATGTTCAATAACGAAAGTAGGAAAAGGGTTAGAAGAGAAAGAAAATAAATAGTCACTGAAATCATCTGGAGTCAAAGGGAGGGATTTTATTTGATTCTGGTAGGAATAGATTACGTATTTTCCATTTGGATTTGGAATCAGCAGCATTGGAAAGGGCAATGTGGAAGTAGTTGGATTTAGCAAGTCGGACTGTGGATTGGGTTCTATTACGAAGTTGTTTGAAAGATGCATAATCAACAGATTAACAGGTTCGCCGGTATTTGTGCCTTGTTGCATCCCTTCTTTTCATCATTTCCTTAATTTCAAGGGTCATCCAAAGAGCAGTGGGAGGACAAAAGGTTCTAGTTTTCAGAAGAGCATGGATGTCTAATATGGATTGTAGATTTGAGGTAAGGGTAGAAACAATATGACCAATGAAATTATAGGAATATATGTTATCCCATTGGTATGTTATTTATCTACTGAAAGGATTGGTAACTTTCTATACCTATAAACCCTCTCTATATATATAGCATTTCCAAGTCAATTTCAACCTTTTCTAAGTCAAATTCAACCTTTTTTATTTATTTACTTATTTTTAATTTTTCGAAGTATGGGTCAGTTATCGCATGATTAGTTTTTGAAAATAATCTCCATTTTAAAATTATGATACTGCTTTTCGACTTATTTATATTTTTCGGATTTATTCAATATAAGGGAGTATTCTTATGTTTCCGGAGTCATCAATTTTGAAAATGACCTCCATTTTAAGATTATGCTACTGCATTTATACTTATTTAAGTTTTTCGAATTTATTCAATATAAGGGCTTACTTTGATGTTTCTGAAGAGTTTCGTCCTTTTTAATTTTTTCGAATTTATTCGGTGTAATGGTCTAATTATATGTTGTCGGAGACGTAGTTTTTGAAAATGACCTCCATTTCAAGATTAGGCCACTGTGTTTCTGTTTTTGTGATTTTTCTCATTTTTAAATTTACTTTTAGTTTTCTTTTTTAATGTTGCAGTTTCCTCTTACAAAATCATAACACAATACGAATTTCGAACAATTAGATGAAAAATCTGAATATGGTAGGTCAAATTTATTACCAGTTGCTTTTTCGGCTTTTTACTTTTTGTATTGTGGTTAATTTAACCTTAGCTTCATAATATTTATTCATTCATACTTGAAAATATATTGATGAAACTTTGTATCGAAAAAATCCAAAATCAAGCTAAATAATTCAAGATGCAGAGTCGTAATCTTGAAATGGAGATTAAATATTAGATAAATTTCAAATACTATCTCCGATAGCATATAAGTAGATCCTTATACCGAATAAGTCACAAAAAACTTAAATAAACCAAAATACAGTGGCATAATCTTAAAATGGAAGTCAATTTCAAAAACTACGTCTCCAATAGCATATACGTAGACCCTTACTTTGAATAAATTTGAAAAAATTAAGTAAGTCAAAACGCAGTGGCGTAATCTTAATATGGAGGACATTTTCATAATCTACGGCTCCAGAAACATAAGCATACATCCTTATATCGAATAAATCAGACAAACTTAAATAAATCGAAATGCTGTGGCGTAATCATAGAATGGAGATCATTTTAAACTTTAAATGGGAAAAATCCGAAAAACTTAAATTAGTTGAAACGCGATGGCCTAATCTTAAAATGGAGATCATTTTCAAAATCGATGGCTTCGGAAACATCAAAATACACCCTTATATCGAATAAATCCAAAAAACTTAAATAAGTCGAAAAGCAGTGGCATAATCTTAAAATGGAGATTATTTTCAAAAACTAGGTGCACGATAACATAATACTAGACCCTTACATCGAATAAATCCGAATAGGTACAATAAATTGATATCCGAAACTTTAACATAAAAAATCGAAAGGTCTACTTAAGGGAGCCTCATAATAGACCCTAATATTTGAAGCTTATTTTGAAAAAAATCAAAAATTTACAAAAAATTGAAACTTTAATTTGAAATGGAAAAGGTTGAATTTCAATTGGAAAAGGTTTAATTTGATTTGGAAAAGGTTGAATTTGACTTGGAAAAGGTTGAATTTCAATTGGAAAAAACTTAATATGACATGAAAATATTATACCGAAAAAATCTAAAAAGTAAAAAGAAATGGATATGGAACAGAATCACATTTTTTTTTTTTTTTATTTTTCTAAAGCTATTCCTTCGATAATAAAGCAAGTGGCCTTTATTTCGAAAAAATTTACAAAAATTAGAAAGTTGAATTTGAAATGGAAAAAGTTGAATTTTACTTGGAAAAGGTTGAAATTGACTTGGAAATGCTATATATGTTTACTATCTATAAAGGACCTCTATCTATTTTACCTGGCCGCCATTTTGTATTCCAGTGGCTATATGCTGGCAGACAGGCATTTTTCTCATCATGTCTGTGGATATGGTCAATTTATAAGGACAAACCTTAGTATGAAATATGGCACCTTTTTTGTCATGGGCTCCAATACTATAAAGTAGACCAGACAGATTTATTAAAACATTTAGTGCAAAGTAGGAAGGTGTCACCACTCTGCACACCAAACTGGAATGGAATAAGTGCCAATGAATATATACCTATTAAAAGGGGTATTTTTCAAGGTGACTTCCTTAGTCCCCTTTGGTTCTGTTTGGCACTCAATCCACTCAGCAAACTACTGGAGGATACAGGTAAGGGATACCACCTTAATTCTGAAACGAAGCTCTCTCATTCGTTCTATATGGATGATCTCAAGCTTTATGCAAGAAATGAAGATGAAATGAGAGCTCTTTTGAAAGTAGTAGAGATGTTCAGCACTGACATAAGAATGGATCTAGGAATAGATAAATATGCAGTAATATACACAAAATGAGGTAGGATTCTTGAAGGTAATGATATAGAGCTTTCAGAAGATGCTGTGTTTAATCAGATGAGAGAATTAAATTCTTCCAAATACCTAGGAATGGATCAGCTTCTGAAATTCAAGAGCAATTACAAGAAATTCTTTGAGGAGGAATATGAGAAAAGAATCAAATTTCCACTAAAACGGAATAATTAGAGCATTAAATACTAGGGCCACCGGATTCGCAAACACGAAATCAAATAGATCATGACTTGATACAACACAGCTTGCAAAGCAGTATAATCAATGTACGGTCTTATCGCGGAGCAGAATGTGGGTCGGATCATGAATTAGTAATCGCGAAACTTCGACAAAAACTTAATATAAAAAAGAGAAAAGAAAACCGTTTCGATTTTGAGAATTTTAATTTGGAAAAATTAAAAAATCCATCAATTAGAAACCAATTCGAGCTAGATGTTAAGAATAGGTTTGAAGCTTTAGAGCTTCCTGACGAGGACCACGAGGATATTGACAAGTTATGGGTAGAGATCAGGGATAATATAAAAGCGGTCGGTAACTCGTGCCTAGGAAAAAAGGAAACTAAGAATAACAAACCGTGGTTTGATGAAGATTGCTTAAACATGTGCGAAAAAAGAAAAGCCGCTAAATTAAAAGCTCTAAATAATCCTAGCGAAGACAATCTGGAATACTTCCGAATCTCAAAGAACGAAACGACAAAATTGCTCAAAAATAAAAAAAGGGAGTATCTTAAAAATAAAATAATTGAAATAGAAACTAATAGAATCGAAAATAACGTAAGAGACATGTACAAAGGTATAAACAGATCACGTAAATATGTAGGGCCCGTAACGTCTGGAATTAGGGATGATAATAACAATATTCTGACCGATCCGGTTGACATATTGAATAAGTTTAAGGACCACTTTGACAATATTTTAAATACGGGAAATTATGATCTGTGTCCTCCTTCTGAGTACCAGAGTGCTGAACCGTT